TGTACCCGACCCCGACAGCATGTAGTTTACAAAATTGCAAGAAGCGTTTGTTCTTATTCCCCCACCATGTGTGACAAACAGTAGTCTCGAGTTGTCGCTCCTAGACTGGTTATAATTTTTTAATGTAGCTTGTCAGCTTGCTTGCAAAATTCTTGGGAGAGATTCCAATGGTTGCTATGTGCTGTCTTCAGACAATGCATGCATGTTTCTGAAACAAGTACCACGTTGTTATTACTTTATATTTTCGGTACAGGAGTGTCTGTAAACTTTAGTTTGGCCCTGCCACGTACCCAAAAAGTGCAATTTATTCGTCCAAGAGTAGTGTTTCCAGAAAAGAATGCATGGCATTCCAAAGAGGTGATTGGATGAAGCGGCAACTTCATTTACTAGAGCCATCTATGTAGTACAAAAAATAGGGCTGATTAAATGAAGTGAAACGTTGAAGAAGAAGAAAATGTGAACGAACAATACTACATTTCGGCAGGCCCAAATAAGGAATAGCATGAAAATGACAACCTGAATTGGTCAGTGTCTAGAGATGCATGCATCTTTCGCTTTCCCTCTCCTGTTGCTGACACGGCTGTTTTTGTTCATGTTGCGTACATATGATACGGCACAATTGTGTGTGGCTAACATCTTTCTTCACTATATCAATGTCGCCACCGTGTCATTGATACAATAATTAAAGTCGAGTTGTCAGTAATGCTGGTTTCAGGACCCTATAATCTGGTACTGTTGTATTTATTTGCGACAAAATATTAATATATTTATGGTGTTTTTATTTTGAGAAATTATATTTATGGGGTTCCGTCATCTAACAGCGTCAGAGTCAAGCGTGGCAGTGAATTGAAGGTTACATGACTTGCGCAACACAAAACGGGATTCAATCAAATCATTAAATTGGAAATCTAATGTAGATCGATTGTGCATTAGTACGATGAGGGTTCTATGACGCAAAAAATACTTGTCAATCTTTTCTAACCAAAAATTAAACTACTATGCACAATGCTCTATTGCACACAGCCTCGTTCCTCTCAAGGAGCATATATACATTTCTTTTCTTTTCCCGAGCAACCAACAATATCTCTTCTTTTTCACTAGATAAAAAATGAAGAATGAGGAAAAAGCTCCAACGATGAGCGCTTCCTCACACATGGGCTGCCTTTTCCTCAAGCAATGCCTACAACACCATTGCTATTCAAGGCGAAATCGACCCCAATGCTTCCTCCATTTGGTCCCCACAGGTGCCTATCAAGGTGAAGATCTTTTCATGGTTCCTCCTCCAAGATTAGACTCAATGCCAAGACCAAACTGTTCCGCAAGACCATCACCAACTTGGCAACCCGCCCTAGGTGTGATGCCCTGGTAGAAGATACTGCTCACATCGCACTCCCTTGTCCTGCGACAATTCAGGTCTGGCGCGATGACCTCGACATCCGACCCTGTTCTTTGTTGGATCTTCTATGGGCCTCCCAAACACAGGATGGCCTTGACCCCTTAGTTTGGAGCTTGGCGTTGCTAACTATTCTATGGAAACTTTGGGACTCCAGAAATGCATGTGCTTTCCATGGTGAATCTCAGACTTCACGTTTTACTATTAGGAACATTATTCATGACTTCTTTCTTTGGGTTTTAGATTCTCTGGGTTGTCTGTTAAGGAAGCCACCAAGTCTAGGAGGTTAGGGCATCTCCAACGGCAACCCACAAAAATCCTCTCGCATTCTTCACGGACAGGGGACGAGTCTGCGGACACGGATGCGGGGGGACGCCATCTTCACATGGCTCCTCTTCCAAGATCGACTCAACTCCAAGGCCAAAATGTTCCGCAAAACCATCACCAACTCGGCAACCTGCCCTAGGTGTGATCTCCTGGTAGATGATGTTGCTCACATCGCACTCCCCTTCCTCGCTATCGTTCAGGTCTGGCGCGACGACCTGGACATCCAACGCTCTTCTTTGTTGGATCTTCCATGGCCTCGCAAACGCGTGATGTCCTTGACCCCTCTGGTTGGAGCTCAGTGCTGCTAACTATTCTATGGAAACTTTGGGACTCCAGAAACGCATGTGCTTTCCGCGGCAAATCGCATACTTTGTGAGGAAAACTATTCATGACTTCTCCATTTGGATTTTAGATTCTCTAAGTTGTCTGATAAGGAAGCCACAAAGTCTTGGAGGTTATACCTCTCCTCGTGTTACGACATGATATTGTAATTTTGTGACTCTTTTTGAGTAATATATTGATATATTCAAGTGGGGATGCTCTCCCCTACCGATGATTGTTCAAAAAACTAATTAAGGGGTTAGATTGCACACATACTCCGACGGGGCGAAGCCGAAATAAAAGCAAAAAAGGTAGAACGGTAAAACAAGAACAATACTCTTCCCACATGAGGCTACTCAAATGCTTTGCTCCCGCAGTCCGCTACTTTTTTTGCTTCATATTTGATATTTGATCATGGGAGGGATCTCGATGTGGTAGAATACCTACGTTCCAAACAAGCCATGATAAGCGTGAGAGAAGCTTCAGCAACTCATAAAGTTTACTCACCCTTCTATAGTAGGGGCGTTGGACCATAGCTCTGGGTGGATTTCAAGTAAGCTTAGCCAACTTACCGCCACACTCCAATTCTTGTGGTGTATCTAGACATGAAAGCAGTCATGACATGGTTTCTTGCTCTCGCTTGCAAAGTTGGAAGGAGACATAGTTTTTCCAACCGCGGCTTGGGGCCTATTCATTGTCGAAAGAGGATCTTGAATCGCTAACCACACAAAAATATACTTAGATGGACCCATAGCTTCCATACCATGGATCACTGAAGTTGCAGGCGCAAAAAGATATCTACTCTCTCATTGAAGTGGTTATCCAAACCGATCCGCATCCTAGAGGCCTCAATCCATTCCATCCATAGTCGGCCAATCCCTAGGGGCGCTCGTAGTGTCCTAGGTTGAGGACAATTAGGCCACCAAACTCTTTTGGGTGATAGACAATGTCACATTTAACTTTGCATTTGCCAACTGGAACTTTGTCGCAACTCACAAGATGCACAAAGGTAGGCACGCCGAAGCTTGTCAATATAATTCAGTACTTCCACAGGGACGCCGAGGCGCATGAGGTACTAAATATCTTGTCATTCCTCACCTTCTCTTTGCCAACAACTTTCTCCCATAGGGGTTGAAATTCATGATGCCACAAGTGAGCCAGGGAGAGCGGGAAGCCTATGTAGCCCAAAGGAAAGCATGACCTAACGGCCAGGAAGTCTCACAGAATGTCATCGAGGTTAAAGCCATGTCATTTGATTGGCACCACCATACTCTTTAGCAATTTGTTACATGACTTGTAACCAGACCGAAGCTCTAAATAATGAATGCAAGGTTATGTGTATCATCTTTAACTAGGGCCACGAAGACAGTAACATCGCCAACATACAAGATGGTCATCATGGTAGGTGTGCAACCCCAAAGATGGTGAAGGAGGCCCTGTCCCATGGCAAGCTCAAGTGTGTGGGTGAGAAGGTCGATTGCCAAGACAAAGAGTAATGGTCAAAAACGCTCCCTAGTTAACTAATAAGGAAAACTGGACTGAAACAAACAAACTCGCCCACCTAGCTAGCATGCACACACCGACATCAAGATCGTAGGCCACAACCCACAAACGCGCCACCTAATGTCCATAAACCAGCGGTTTTGGTTGGAACCACAACCATTTAGCCGCCATCACTACAAGGAGAACGAGACCGTTCCTACTACGGAAGGAGTAGCCCTAGAATGGCCCCTCAACGATGACATGGATCCAACTTGTCGCCACCCAATGGCATCGTGATCCTACCGACCACACGGTGTCAGCCAAAACCCGTGCGACACAACAACACACATCTCCCGGGCCATTGCCGCCCTCCATCCACTCTGCTCCACAACCTAAAATACATAATACTAGGTTAATGTTTGTACTATTTTCAGAGGGTGAATGCTTGTAGTACTTAGGGGTAATTCTAGACTTGGGCTTGTTTAATTAATCTGCAAGCACACAAGAAGCTAGCAGAGCAGGCAAAAACATTGCCTACAGGCTACAGGCAACCGAAAGACAGATGCGCCATATAACCTTTGTAGTGAGATGTCACATGAGGCGCGGCGCCTAGTTGAATTGTACAAGTGGCCAAGGAGAAGGAGGTCGATGCATGAACGGTGAAATCACAGCACATGCATGCATGCATGCAGCTGGCTAGTCCGAACCTTCATATGGCTGCTCTAGCCGTCTAGCCAGTGCTCCTACGTAGGAGTTGGCGCTGCAGTGAAGCTGTAGACGTATGGTGAGGCTTTGAGCTAGGTTAGGTTAGTTTGGGTGGGTGGCTCACCGTAAAATCTCGACAGCAAGCTGGACAAGGTGTGTACTAGCGCTAGTGCTAGGTGCGTGCGCAAAGCTGGCGCTGCATGTTACCCGGGCGGGCGGGCCACCGTGCATGCAGCAGATGCATAGAGAATCTCTCGGTCCACGCACTCTCGCATAATTTGACCGCCCCCCTGCACCTGAAAAAAACCCGAGGCCGTACAGCCCAGTTTGCAAATACACCCCGCCGGGACCTGTGGATTTGCAACCCTCTGCCCTTTGTTTGCCATTGGCCCAAGTTTTCAGTATATTTTTCCTCGTCTCGATCCCTTCCCTTCTCTCTCGCTTGTTGGCCTTGCCCGATTCTGTTGCCTAAACCGTTGGGTCGGACGCGTCCCCGTTGATTCCTTCCCCGAAGTGGCAGCACAGCGCGCCACCAACGCCCTCGCGCGCGCATGGTGATGGTCCCCTCCGATCCCTCCCTCCGTCCGCGCGCTCCCTATAAAACGCGGGCGCCGCTCGCCACCCTCCCTCCCACCTCACACGCCGATCAGTACCTGTGTCGCTGCCGCCGCGTACTGTGTGTGCCACCTGTCTACTAGCTTGTCTTGTTGATCTCCGGCCGTCTCCCTCACACTCACAGGCCGTGAACCTTTTGCCGCTTGCCGGCGCGCGCATGGCGCTGGAGGCCGTGGTGTTCGCGCAAGGCCACTTCGGCTACGGCCAGGCTCCGGGGCTCGGGCCCTGGTGCGACATGGTAGGCGCCGGCGGGTTCCTGGAAGACTGCTGGGATCAGCAGCTTTTGGCCGCCCCCGTGGCGCCCAATGCGGAGGATCAGTGGGAGCCGGTCTCCAGCTGGGACCAGTCTGAGGCGTCCTCCGAGGGCAAGGCGGCGGCGCCGGAGCCGGCCATGGCAGCGGCGGCGACGGGGAGGAGGAAGCGGAGGCGCACCAAGATCGTCAAGAACAAGGAGGAGGTGGAGAGCCAGCGGAGGACCCACATTGCGGTCGAGCGCAACCGCCGCCGCCAGATGAACGAGTACCTCGCTGCGCTCCGCTCACTCATGCCACAATCCTACGCTCAAAGGGTACTACTATTTACTAAGCATCATAAGCTTTACTCGATTTTATCTGCCTGCTTATTTGCTCTACTCGATTTTATCTTTACTAAGCATCATAAGCTCTTAATAATTCATAAGAATTGGTTGTGTGCATCACAATGATGCAGATGTGGGGTTTCAACCTTCTTTTCAAAAGAAAAAAAAAGCATCATAAGCTCTAATCGATTTTATATTTACTAAGCATCATAAGCTTTACTCGATTTTAGAATCTCTCAAGTGTCTATAGTGTCACTATTAGTAGGTTTTTGCACCGTAGAGTGTTTCGACATCGGGCACTCATAACAAGCTTTCTGATGATTTTCCAACTCGCAAAGCTCTTTCCATTCCCCTTTTGCTATAAGAACCGGTCAACGCTCTCAACGAGTATCTGCCTCATGTTCAAACTCACAACCCTCTTCACATTCCCCTTTTGTTGTAAGAACCGGTCAACACTCGCAGTCGCAGCGATTGTTCTGCTAATGCTCCAACTCGCACCTCTCTTTCCATTCCCCTTTGGATATCCGCAAGAACATGTTATTTCGATTGAGCAACTAATGAATGAAAAGGTGATTCGCCCCTTTGGGAAAAAATGCAAGTTCAATTGTATCAGATGAGTGAGTAATCATTAAGACATTATTAGTTGTATATGTATGATTTAATTGATTTTAGCATCTCTCGAGCTCTTATTGTGTTAGTAGATTTTTGTCATGTAGGAGCGTTTTAGGGCGAGCACTCTCAGCGGGTTTCATGCTAATGCTCCAACTCAGCATATTTCTTCCGGTTCCCCTTTTGTTTGCTATCTGTAAGAACCGGTCATTTCCATTGAGCAATTAACCAAAGGGGTTAATAATTCGCAAGAAAAAAACCCAAAGGGGTTAATGCATGAAAAGGGGTTCGCCTGGTTGGACAAAAAAACACATCACTGCTTCAATCGTATGATTCAAATAAATGAGTGGCTGATCATTAAGAAATTAACTGTATATTTTTTTGATAATGTTCTTTTACATTTTGGTAGGGCGACCAAGCATCCATAGTTGGAGGGGCAATCAACTACGTGAAGGAGCTGGAGCAGCTCCTCCAATCGCTCGAAGTCCAAAAAAGCGTCAAGAACCGCACCGGCCGATCCCCTTTCGCCAGCTCCTTCACCTTCCCACAGTACTCCACCTCGTGTAACGCCACGCAGGCCACCGCCAGCGACGGCGGCTCCGGTGCCGATTCGAGCGGCCTCAAGAGCGAGGCCGGCGTGGCCGACATCGAGGTGACCATGGTGGAAGGCCACGCGAGCCTCAAGGTGCTCTCCCGGCGGCGGCCGAGGCAGCTCCTGAGGCTTCTCGCCGGGCTGCAGCAGCTGCGCATCCCGCCGCTCCACCTCAACGTGACCACCGTCGACGCCATGGTCCTGTATTCCTTCAGCCTAAAGGTAATTAACCTTTCTCCGTACGTGCTATGCTACTTAGTTTATTTATAATGGAGTATAAGGTGATGGAGACAGATCGACGGAACGAGCCGTGGCTCGTCGACGGTTGGTTTCCGTTTCTATATAAGAACGGCGTCCGGTGGTGGTGATCGTTGTTTTTTTTGCACGTACGGTAGGTGGAGGATGGCTCCAAGCTGAGCTCTGTGGAAGATATTGCGGCCGCTGTGCATGAGATCCTGGCCAGGATACAGCGGGAGGAGGAGGAGGCCGGTCGACTCAGCAGCTCGAGCTGATGCTGATGGCTGATCGATGCCACGGAGGCGACCGTCGTGCAAGCCTGTGATGCTGCACTGCTCCCTGCATCTGTGCATGTCGTGTACCTGCCGTGTCCTGGAAAATGGAATCAATTCTACTCTATCTTTGTACGTGAAACTGTGAATGACGACTGTACCCTGCATGCAAACCCTTGCCTGGTCCAGAGCAATGGCGAAAAAAACACACTATGACAAGATAACTAGCTGTACATCAAAACTGGCGCGCTGCATGCTTGGCTCCGAGGCTACTCATAGTGGAAGTATCGTTATAGTGTCATGCATACGATACTAGTGTATGATACTACTTTCATAATGCATAGTATATAAAGTAGTATCATAGATGACCTTATTTATGGCCATGCATGACACAAAGTGATATAACATTTATCATGTAACGGTATCTATCTATGTTAATCTAACTCTCTCTCTCCCCCTTTTCTTTAATTCTCTGCTACGGTATCTATCTATATTTGCTATTTTCGAGTGCATTATACCGACTATGATACCTCTACTATGGCCAGCCTGAAGTGAACACATCCTTTTTGGGAGTCGTACATGCGTACTTGTGCATGCATTCACGGATTTACTTTACATGCGTGCACACAGACACACAACTGCTGTGTGTCTCGAATCCATTCACATGCTTCTGTCTCACCGTGTGGTACATCTGTGTCGAGAGATTTGTTTGGGGATGAACAGAGCTAGCCGGCAGGAAGCAGAATGATTGCCCGATAATGTGACGAGTTGGATCCTCTTTTATCTGTTGCGCAATAAATCTCCTCCGTGTATAGAGCTCGGCTCTGCGGACGAGTGGGCCGTGGGCGAATAATGCATGTGTTGTGCAGACATAAATGTGCGTTTCAGGGTTCATGCACGATCGAGCATACTGCGTACACAGACAACATGAGTGGTATTCGTGAGAGGCTAGAGATTCGATTGACCGGGAAATAGTTGTCGCTGCGTAGGCGTCAGGGAAATTGCTGCTTGTTGCAGTTGTGTTATTATGAACGTCTCTTTGTAGGTGCCCACACGACATGATTTCATAAATGCACTTTCTTGTTTTCTTTGAAGGAAACTTGTATATGCTGATATACTAGATGATGCCCCGGACGTTGCCTGGGAATTTTCTTACATATATTCCAATGAGATTTAATTATATGAATATGAATATATGAATTAATAATATAATAACTGAAACAAAAGATAGATATGATATTATTATTGGGGTGCTTTGTACTTCTGATGAGTTTTTTATAATAGATATGAAAAAAAAAATGAAACTCCATGGGCACTAGCACCCACGGTTTATTGATAAAGAAGAAGCATCCCTCATGAGAATTCCAGAAATTCGTCCCCGACGTGGATCGAACTCTGGTCGTTGGGTTTACAATCATGCGCCCCCAACCACTGGGCTATGCCCACGTCCTCAAAATGAAACTCCATGGGCACTAGCACCCACGGTTTATTGATATAGAAGAAGCATCCCTCATGAGAATTCCAGAAATTCGTCCCTAACGTGGATCGAACTCTGGTCGTTGGGTTTACAATCATGCGCCCCCAACCACTGGGCTATGCCC